ATAAAAGTGATTATAATAGATAATATATGATAATTGTAAAACTATCTAATGATTGTACTTTTTGTACAAGGTCACCTTATCAATATCCCCATCCACGTCCACACACCTCAACAATATTTTCAGTCGCAGTGTACTTTTTAATTAGCAAGTTTTTTTTTTGAGTATGAAGTTTTTAGTAAAAAGTGGTTAATTTGTTTCTCTTGAAAAGTTTCTTGAATTTAACATTCTAAAACGTTTTTAAAGAGTTTTATTTTTTTTCATTGTGTATACTACTTGAATACATGTAACCAGTACAGGGGGAGACGTTGGTGGTGTCGCCAGGAAATGAAAGCCATTATCTAATGTAGTTTTATTATTACATCTGAGAGTCGCCATTAAAAGTACTTGCTCCCCCAACGATGGTTTTCAATTTTATCACGAACATTCTTTTGAACTAGCTTCTGCGTCATTAATTATTCAATCAAGGACGTTGAAAATAATCGCTTTTTAATTATTTTGCCATCAATAATTTTCACAAACATTGAGAGGAGCAACTTTTGTTAATTTTAATATCCCTTAAATTGACGTATTCAATGTTTTAGACGAGTTTCGTATATTTTAATTAAACTATCATTACATTCTTCGAAGTAAAGTGTAGATGATAATTTGAATATTTCCTTAGAAATAATTCTGACAATTTAAATTCAAGCATGTTCTAAAATACGATGAAATGATCGCCAGAACGTACAGTTGCGTATTCAATGCACGATTCTTCATACCTCAATTTTCTTTCGTTACACATGCGGTATCGTATAAAACATCAAAGAGCTTCAAAATGTAATTCCGTTCAAACAGTTTTCATTTATTTCCATTTTATTCTATTATTACAGGACAATTTTCGAATTTACCTTAAAGTCTCGTACGCATGCAATGGGATACGCATGCGCGTTGACCTATACCAAATCGAGGATGCAGGTTGCTTGACTTGTGAACATCCTATATAAACGTGTACATATACACATATATATATATTTCTAGTTATATACATTTGTACATGGTGATTAAAGAAAGTCAGTCTGAGCAAGATGGCCGGCCGGATGGCTTCGGCCTTTTATTACTCCGCGCTTATTTTTCACTTAATACTGTTAACGGGTTTGAATAATGGACAAAGATTTGGTGAAAAAGCGAGAACCCTTCACATAACGGAGGACTACGAATCATACGGTTACAGACGGCCGTTAGTCATCAATCGGGATGAGTACGCGGACGATGCCAGCGAAACGTCATCTAGTCGAACGCGCAGGGATGTTCCTCATTCAGCGTTCCCAAATAATAATCCAAATATCACGACGAAGGTACGCAATTGGCTTTCTACGTATTATCGACGAGCCCGCGACTTTCGATTCGTTTGGTAGTACTGCGGTGCCATCGGTCCGTTCCCCGCATAATTTGCGTTGTTTTTGTTCTCTTATCAATCCGTGTACACTTGTTATTTGCCGATATGAACGATTTTAGAATTTTAAGGCGGCAGTTAATAAGGCCGGCCGTATACAGCGCTGCCTTTGTGCAGCGTGGCCTGCCAAGAGAGCGTAATTGCCATATTATGACCCTTCCGGACTAAATTTAATCAATCCTGACGAAACGGAGCAGAGAGTCATAGTCGTTCTGTTATTGACATGCAGAGGTCAGTAACCGCTTCGTTCGTCTCCTTTATTTTCTATGATGGGTCCTTTTTTTTTCATCACCCCTTTCCTTTTTTAATAAAATTGACCGACCCGTATATTTTAAATAAAGCAGTCATTGATTGTTATCATTCGGGGAGATGATTTGTTCGTTTTGGAATGTATCAGCTGGTATGAAATTTGCCGACCGACGGTTCGTACTAATTAAAATTAGTTTCACGTTTTGCTTTTGCATACCGTTCGTTGATAAATTGCAAATTAAGTAACAATTAGATGCTCAGCAAGGACGTAATTCGTAATTCACTGGTGTTGTACATTTAGTTAAATTGTAGAAATCGTTATTATGATTCGACGTGCTTTTTTTTTAATGATGGATTTGTCTTATTTTCTGTGATAATTATTGGAGTCATTTGATAAAAATGTACTTTGTTTCATTTCTAAGAAACTATGCTTTAATAGGTTTAACATTTTCCTAGTTGGAAATTGTTCAAAGAAATATATGCTACCATGAATGTAGCAATCTTGTAGTAATTTTGGCTCAAGTAATATGAATATAAATGAGGAGAAATATGGCAATTTTCTTTTTCTTTCAAAATATGTCACTTGAACTAAATGTTCGGCTGATACAGCTGTATGGAACAATTAGTCATACATGTGTGTCATACTGTGGAATATAATGAAATACAAGCAGTAACAAAGGAATATTGTATGTCAGCTGCATAAATCATTAAGATAATCTGCACAAACGAAGTTTAAGATATTAACCATTTAAAACAATAGTTAGAATTTCCTTGTGCATCAATGTTACTAATAATGTTATTAAAAATTAATAAATTTACATTAAAAATTTTGTAACAAATTATACATATTGAACATGTTTTATTATTTATGGACAAATATTGTCAGTAATTTCACATGAATACCTTTCACTTCTTTTTTGTGTATAATGTAATCACACCACACGGAACAATGTCCTTGAAGTTATTTAAGACCAAGGAGAGGAAAAAACAGAAAATAAAAAATTGTTTTATATTTTTTAGATTATACTTAAACATGAATGCTGACAATAACTTTGTGTTGCTAAGTTTTATCTTAAATTTAGTTATTATAAATTATTATGTTATTTGTCAATTAGCTGTCTTGCACTCTTAAGGCATTCTTTAATTTGACACTATTAGGTACCGGAAAAAGTTCATGCGGATTTATAACACAAAATTCAAGTAATCTGAACTTTGTTGAAACATAATTTTATTTAACAAAGAAAACGCCACTTTTTTTTTATAATTCTTTTCCAACGCTTTACAAGCTTATACATTCCGTTATTATAAAAGCCTTGAGTTTTTCTTGCTGTTTTAATCTTGACATCGTTTTTATAACGTTTATTTGCTAATAAGTTTGACATAGACAAAAACAAGTACATAAAACCTTCCACTGATACCAATTTTGTGCATTAGATTTGCGATCTACTAAAAGAAATTCGATTTGAGTTTCTTGCTGCCAGAAAAGCCGCACGAACTTTTTCCGGTACCTAATAGTATATTATTAAAGCTATTACGTCATATGAATGTGTGTATCTGTAGTGGAGAGAGTTTTCCAAGAACTGTAAGCATCTAATGATTCATATCTTTAATTGATTCATACCTGGTTATTTAGTTAAGGAAAAATTATTTCTTTAAAAATGAAATTTTGTTTTACTTTTTTTTTTCTTTTAATCAGTAATATCAAGAATTCAAAATTTCCTTGTGAGATAAATATATTTGTTTCTCCTCAGCTTATTCTTATCTATATTTTCTCAGCTTATTCTTATCTATAATTTCTTTGTTTTTGAAAATTACAATTCTGGATGTGCTTTTAAATTTATCTGTGTTTTTCATAGGTCAATGCTTTAAACGACTCACATCAACAATTAATAGTTCATTGGGTTGGAGAAGGATCTAATGTAATAATATGCTTAGCAAGAGATAGTACACCAATGGTGAGATTGCAAGGTACCAAACCTACAGCACCTAGCAACCCAAGTGCTGTATATATCAGTTACGATTATGGTGATACGTTTGTAAACGTGACAGAAAAATTTCGAGTTTCCTCTGAACCAAATGCACCATATGCTATTCTAGATAAATTCAGCAATCATCCAAAATATTACACATATGTAAGTTTCTGTTTTATTTGTGTCTTCTTTTTAATTTCCTCAGTTGTCTGTATGTTTTAACAATTCATTGTATTTTGCAGTGTATCTTTGTAGACACTACAAACAAATTGATCTTTAAAACACCTAATGATGGAAAAGACATTGAAAGGGTTGAAGTACAATTTACTCCAAATGAGATCTCGTTTTATGAAATGGACCCTAGATTTCTTGTTGCTCTGGATAAAGTTCATCCTTGGCGTACAGCTGTAAGTTTCTCAATATTTTGTCATGAAAAAAAAGAAGTGTATATATCGTTATTATTCTAACATGACTATATTGTTCTTAGTTGTGGTTATCGATGGATACTGGAAAAACATGGACGTCATTATATCCTTATGTAAAAGCATTCTTTTGGTCAACTGCACCTACACTAATGTTCGAACGCATGGAGCCTCTCGGATGGAACACCGTTTGCAAATTTGATATGCACCACGACAGACAGGAAATACTTAATTCGTTCACGGTGGTTATGAAATACGTGGAAGATTTTCAACTCAGAGGAGATTATAAATTTGCTACATCGAAGAGTGGAAAAGTATGCGACAAACACTTTATCTTGTATTTATTGTGGCTAAATTTGTATGTGATGTACAAGGAAGTTTTGTTCTTACAGAATGATACTGAACATTTGGATCTCTACGTTGCCTATAAGAATTTTAGTTTTGTCAAGGCTGAGTTCAGCACGAATTTACCCATTAAGGATTATCACATTGTCGATGTGTCACACAATAGAGTTTTCGTCGCGGCTTCCCACAGTGAAACCCAAGTGAATCTTTACATATCAGAGATGTTAGATCAACTTAAGGTAACGTTCACGTTATCTTTGGAAAACATTCTCACGTTTTTCCCGAACAGCACTTGGAAGGACAGTTGGTTGAAGTAAGTATACTTTACATAATACAATCTTATATAAGTTTCTGGAAAATCGATAGAGGAAAACTTTGCACGTGCTCCTTTTCAGTGATGTGGCAGACGAAGCATTTACAGATTTATATAAGGTCGAGGGTCTTCGTGGTATTTACATAGCGTCGCAGGTAAAAGGAACACCAAAATCAGGGTCCATTGGACCAGAGCATTTAATATCATTGATAACATTTGATCATGGCGCTACCTGGAACCCTATAAAACCACCCACAGCGACTCATGAAGGATTCTACGTTCATTGTACCAAACGCTGTTCCTTGCACCTGAGTCAGCGTTTCAGTCAACTGTATCCTGTAACCAGATCAGTATCGATCATGAGTTCCAAGTCTGCTCCTGGTATCATAATGGCTACCGGCGTGATAGGTCCGGATTTAAAAGGTTATCCCGCTTTGTACGTGTCCAGAGATGCTGGCCTTACATGGAAACAGGTCCTCAAGGACTATTACTTCTTCAACATGGGAGACCATGGTGGTCTGTTGGTAGCCGTGAAATACTTCAAATCACACGGGGAGACCAGAGATATCTCTTATTCCACCGACGAGGGGGAGACTTGGCAGTCTTACCAGTTTAATGAAAAGATGCTGCGCCTGTATGGATTAATGACAGAACCAGGAGAGAACACAACTGTGTTCACGATGTTCGGCTCAGCTAGTGGCCAGCACCAGTGGCTGATAATCAAGGTTGATTTGAGGAACGTCTTCGAAAGGTCTTGCACTGAGGACGACTTCAAGTTCTGGTCACCGTCCAGTTCAGATCAACCAGTGATGTCCTGTGTGCTAGGTCGAAAGGAAACCTATCAGAGAAGAGCAGCACGTACAAATTGTTATACTGGAGTGGATTACGACCGCCCAGTCAGGACAGAAATATGTCCTTGTGACTTCAACGACTACCAATGTGACTTCGGCTTTGAACGAGATGGAAATCCTTATCACTGTATTAGAACCAAGTCCATGAACTTCTACGACCCTTACGCCATACCATCCACCTGCATGCCAGGGAAGTTTTACAACAGAACAAAGGGTTACAGGAAAATAGCAGATGATGAATGTGTCGGTGGTTTGGCTAGAAACTTCGAGCCAAGCGAAATTCCTTGTCCCATTGAGGAGAAGGCAGCGTTCCTATTAGTAGCACTACGGGAGCACATTTCGCGTATCGATTTGGTTGAGGAAAAACTGGAAACATTACCCGTTCATGATCTAAAGAATGTCATAGCTATTGAGTTTGACATGAGGAATAATTGTCTGTATTGGGCGGACATCGTAAACGACACCATCGGTAGACAATGCTTCATGGATGGCACGAGTTACCCTGAGATCCTTGTAGAGAGTGATTTAAGCTCTATAGAAGGAATGGCGCTCGATTGGGTGTCCAATCTTTTGTACTTTGTGGATGGGGTTAAGATGAGAATTCAGGTGATCAGAACAGATGTGCCCACCATGGGAAGAATGCGTAGGACCATTCTGGGATCTAATAATCTACAGAAGCCTAGAGGAATAGCCGTGCACCCTATGAATGGGTACATGTTCTGGACCGATTGGGCTCCAGGGAACGCTTCAGTCTCAAGAGCCAACCTGGATGGTACAGAAGTGAAACGATTATTCGTAGAGCCAACTGTAGAGTGGCCAAACGGAATAACCATCGACCATATAGCTGAACAAATCTACTGGGTGGATGCTAGGCTAGATTACATTGGTTCCAGTGACTTCGACGGTAAGAAGTTCAAAAAGGTGATCTCGAAGAACGACAGGGTATCTCATCCGTTTGCCGTGGCGGTGTTCAAGGATAACATGTACTGGGACGATTGGAAAGAATCGATGATCTTCGTCGCTGATAAGGATCACGGTTTGGGTATATCTACAATCACAAGTCAATTGCCAGGTTTGATGGACCTCAAGGTGTTCGCTCACAGTATCCAAGAGGGCACCAATGACTGCGCCAACAACACTTGCTCGTACATCTGCGTGGGAGCTCCTCATGGCGGCCACGTGTGCCTCTGTCCTGATGGTATGGAGATGATCGACGGCAAGTGCCTGTGTCCAGGTGGAATTGAACCCTTCGCCAATTCCACATGTCCTCGAGTGGCTAGTACTTGTGACCCAACTCAATTTGCCTGTGGCAATGACGTATGCATCCCTGTGTCGTGGGTATGTGACAGGGACAACGATTGTGGCGACCACTCAGACGAGCTGAACTGCAACAGGACCAGCTGCACGCCTAACTTCGAGTGCGACGACAACAAGTGTATCTCTAAGCATTGGGTCTGTGACTTCGATCAAGATTGTCAGGATGGTCGGGATGAGATGAACTGCAAGTATCCTCGGTGTACAGAGTCTCAATTTCGCTGCGACAACGGCAGGTGTATCTCGCACAGATGGCACTGCGACGGTGAGGACGACTGCAGGGACGGATCCGATGAAAAGGATTGCGGGAAAATGACACATTTGAGCGGGTGCAAGACTGACGAGTTCTTCTGCAAGGTGGAGAAGTCGTGTATACCAGCTGGTTGGAAGTGTGACGGTGAACCGGACTGTGAGGACGGCAGGGACGAGGCTGACTGTAGCAAGATGGTCTGCGAGAGTTGGCAGTTTACGTGTAACTTGTCGCAAGTAAAGCACCGTTGCATATACAACTCGTGGGTCTGTGATGGGGACAAGGACTGCGCTGATGGCTCCGATGAGGCAAACTGCACCGTCGCTGTACGTCCACCCGCGCTTGCTCCAATCTTACCAAACAGTCCTTGTAACAACTGGATGTTTATGTGCACCAATAAGAAATGCGTACCTTATTGGTGGAAATGCGATAGCGTGGACGATTGTGGAGATGACTCTGATGAGATGGGCTGCGGTAACGATGACACCGAAGAATGGGCTATGATATTTTCCACGGAGCAGACAAAGATCTGCAGGGAGCATCAGTTTCAATGTTCAAATGGTGCCTGTATACCAGACTTGTGGGTCTGTGACGGTACCAAGGAGTGTCCCTCTGGCGAAGATGAAATGCATTGCAGTGACGTGGATCAGCCATCCTGCCACGAGGCCCAGTTTATGTGTCGCACAGATGGCTCATGTGTGCCCATAAGAAATGTCTGTAACGGTGTGGAGGATTGCTCTGACGGTAGCGATGAGTTAGGCTGCTCTGTGGAGCAACATTCGAGTCCAGCAGCCACACCATCTTGTTACGTTGGTCTGTTCCCTTGCGATGAGATACGGTGTTTTCCTCTAGCCTCATATTGCGACGGGAAACAGGACTGCGTGGACGGTTTCGACGAGAGCAACTGCGAGAAAAATAGTTCACGTGTGTATCAGGTGCTTGTGATGGGTGTGGACGAGCGTACTATGAACACCACTAGCCTCTTCCTGTTCTGGTGGATGCCTGTGTCCACTAATGTCACCTTTGAGTTCCTACCTTCCATAGCGTACGCAGTGCCTGGTGCAAATTGGACCAACGCCACAGAGTGGATCGAGGATATAAAGTACCAGTTTAACAACTTGAAACCATACACCAAGTACAACCTGACAGTTTACGTTAGGATAAGGGGGCAGTCAACTGTGTTCCCGCCGGCTAAATACCTGATTGTTCAAACTAACGAGGGTGTTCCTTCTGAGCCGTGGAACGTAACCGTGACACAAAAAGACGGGACCAGCGTGGAGGTTACCTGGCAGCCACCTCTGCATCCTAACGGAATTATCACAGGCTACGAGGGATTCGTGACGCCACCTATTCCGCCAATGCGATACTTCAGACAAAAAACTTCGGCAATTATAGATATGGCGTTCGAGGCGGGCAAGAATTATTCGTTCTGGGTAATAGCGAAGAATAAGGAACGAGAGTCTGCCTCGTCCAATGTGGCTACTTTGATCTTCGATGGGTCTGCAAATATCGATAACATTGAAGACCTTAAAGTGGTCGAGATCACTAACCACTCGGTAACCCTGACCTGGAAAGCACTGAAGGATGTAGATAGTTATCATGTTACTCCCAGGGTTCCAGGACCGTATCCTGAACTGAAAACGATCACCATTCTAGAGAATCACGTAGAGATAACTAAATTGGCGCCAGGAACCAATTACATCTTCGAGGTTGGTGCTATGAAAAGAAATTATGTTGGAAAGTTAACTATGATTACTGTCACTACTAAAGGCACTACTTTACCGACTGTCACTAATTTGGTCGCGCAACTGATAAAACCGAATGGAACCTCGGTGAAGCTTACTTGGGATCCACCTAAGAGCACCAAAAAGATCAAGTGGCAATACGCCATTTATTATGCCATGAATATGATAGAATTTTTTAAAGGTAAAAATAATTAATACTCGTAAGTGTATATTTTGGTCTTCTAAGGATCGATTTATTGATTGATGTGATTGTATTGATAGAGTACAAACTTCTGACGACAAATCTGTCTGCGACAATCAAGCATTTGGAAGCTTGCGAGTCTTACGTCTTTGCGGTGGGCGTGAATGGAGATTATGGTGCTGGTCCGTTCTGTCAGCCAGTCACGGTGTTCACGCATTTCAATAAAGGTGCTCCACCGAAGAAAGTCGGGGTTACCCGCTTTGGGAATTTCGGTGAAATAATGATTACTTGGATGGCCAGTTGTCCCATTATCGAGGAACCCATAAGATACACGGTAAATGACGAACGTTCAATATATGAATATACATATTCATTTCTAAATATTAATTTATTTAAATTTTAGATCACTGTGATGGAATATACGCTCAACAAACATTTTGAGGTTACTCTACCACCGACTAATGATACTATTATGAAGCATACATTTAACTCGATCAAACATGGCGGCAAGTATCGAATCACCGTGTCCACGGACGTTGAGGATGCTATACCCAGTCAGCCGATCCTTTACATGGCGCCGGACATTCAGCCACCGCATCAGCTCAAAGTTTTACCCGATAACGAGGACTTCATTGTCGTGTGGCGAGAACACGATCTACCAGACACTCTGAGAATCGCCAAGTACCATTACGAGATCTTAGTAGTGGAAGGGTCATACTCGATGAATGAATCGATCGCTAAGGTCTATAAAGTTGATCAGCCGCCGTACACGTTTAAGGAAGCGAAACCAGATGTCACTTACACTTTCGCCGTTCGCTTGGTCACCGAAGAAGGCTACCAGAGCCCACTGAGCGAGACTTTCAGTACCAGGCACACCTCGGGTATTTATTGTTTAATATTTCTATAAATTATTTTTATTTTTTTCATGAACTTTGGTATTAAATGGGTGTTTTCAGAAGTGTTATCTCTACCAGTGACGATGAATACGTCGAACATCTTGTCTTTTGCGATACCAATTTGTTTGTTGATCGTGGCCCTGGGATCTGCATTGACATATTTCGTGATAAGGCACAGAAGGTTAACCAACAGTTTCACACAATTTGCTAACAGCCATTATGATACCAGGCGTGGACAGGCAACATTTCCAGGCACTACAGATGGTTTAGGTGAATCCATTTAATGCTTAACTTTTTGATAACTTCAACTTTAACATTATAAAGTGAAGGGCGAATTTCATTGTTGGATTGTAAAGTTAGGAAATACCTGGGTCAAGAAATTTTTTCTTAAATCTCTGATTGATGTTTAACTTTTGAAAGTTGAACATTTTTTAAAATGTATACTTTTTCTGCTTGCAGAAGAAGAAGATAGTCCGGTGATCCGTGGTTTTTCAGACGACGAACCATTAGTGATAGCATAAATTCGCAAGTATCACACACCACAAAATACGTCCACCACACCATGAAGTATGCACATAAAACACAGGTACATCAGACCTTCTCTCTCTATACATATATATGATATTTACATGTAGGAGATATGTGCCAAGACATTATTGGTAACGATAAAGTTCGAGTATATATATATATATATATATGTATGTGTGTATGTATGTATATATATATATATATATAGGTAAGAGATAACCTGATCATAAAAGCGGAAAGCTTTTATAAAAGTGGCTCAAGACTGACATACACATAAACATGCCCGGATGTAACACGTGCACGTGTCATACACAACACACGTGGACACATTTTAATCATGTAATAGCTAACCAGAATTAATAGATCAATCATGGGCTGCTCAGAGCACTTAGATGAAAGCTTTGCGACGAATGAATGCGGGGAAAAATAAAAATAGAATCACACCACCCTATGTTTTTGTAGAGTACTAATTACATACGTGTAAATGTTATAAATTCTATTAAGTATACGGATGATTAAGTTTTACGTCATATCGGCAGGCCGTAAGAGAGAGAAAGAGAGGGGGGGGGAGAATGAGAGAGAGAGAAAGCGAGAGAGAGAGAAAGCGAGAGAGAGAGAGCGAGAGAGAGAGAGAGAGAGAGAGAGAGAGAAAGGATGGACATTGTTGTTTCATATTCACGTAAACGTAGGATGAGGGGGTGTGAGAGACATAAAGAAAGAGAAATAGAGGAATTTGTACATATAGTAAATATTTTGTACGAAAACAGCCGAACACTTTTAAGCTTTTTCGAGAGATGCCATACATGACGTTGACTATCGAATTTGTACTATATGTATAATGAGAGAAAATCGTTTCATTCTCCGACGAATCCTTTTATTTTTTACTATTTTCTTTATTTCGTATTTTTTAAATGTTACATTGTCGTAGAAAGTTCATTGTTTTCTCGAGCGCAGAGTTTTATTCGTTGACGAAAAAATTTTGTCCCATTATATAAACAACAAGGAAAAACAGGAAAATCAGAACCCAACTTTCGACGTTGCATTTAACGGGGAAAAAAACCGTGTAAGGGAAACGCTTGCTCTGCCTCCGCTCTGTTTTGTAATCAATCCGTTTCCTTATCTGTTATATATACACACACACATGACACCAACTATACGAACGAGCTTGTTCATAATTAATAATACAATACACACCGTTGTATTTTAGAGAAAAGTCACGGCATTAGTTTGCGACGATGGTGAAAGTTCCGTTAGCGATAACCAAAACGAAGAAAACAGAAAAAACAGGAACGAGTCCGTTTTTCTTCGACATTTTGAAGATTTTACGATCTTTGTATGAGAAGAAGTTATCGTATCGCGTTCGATTGTGAAAAGCTTGTAACATTTAAGCGATTGTTACACATTCTTGTAATTCGCGTATTCTGTGTTCGGTATAATTTAAAAGAAGAAAATCAGAGAGAAAAAGAAGAGACAAAGGAAAAGCAATTTGGATCGTTACAAGGCAGACAGGGTTGCAGATGGCGCTTTTATGGTAGAAAAAGTCGGAAACAGGTTGCGCTTATTTTTATCTACTTTTTAGCGAGAATGTTTATGGAAATGGGAGTGATGGTAGCGTGACCGCGTTGTTGCCAGTGCTGTCACGGATTTGTAAATAATAAAATATTTGTCATTCGATTGATCGATTCACCATAGAGAAGAAAATGTTAAGATCGATCTTTTTGTAATATCGAGTTGAAAGTTTAGCGTAGGCATAGAAACTTTGCATTTTATCAATTTTATCGAGAGATTTTTTGATGCCATATTTTTATTCCGTTCGTAATGGAACGAATCGAACGATTTTTCGGAAGAAACCATGCGCAATTTGGAGCTAATTGTTCTTTCGGCAACGCAACGTGTGCTAGAAGGTGGTTATGAAATTTATAAGCTTTCACAATGAAGAAAATTTCTCAAATATAAATCTGTGTATAGCTCATTTTAAGATATCGATCATTTCTGCAATTCGAAACGGTGAAATGGTCGTAAATATTGTCGTTAAGATTTTAATATACTTTACAGGCTTAGCATAAATGTTCGAATTATGAATTTTAACATCTTGTACAGGAAGAAGAGAACCCATTTCTCTCGGTTCGTTTTATAAGAAAAACCTTGTGATCGTTATTTGCATTTTTTCGAACGAATATTGAATGATATATCGCTTAACGAAGACGGAAAGCAAATCTGGTAGGGGAGAAGAGTGATTAGTTGGGTCCAGGAGAACAGGAAGTGTCAAGCAGTATTATCAGGGTCTGTTTAACCGCTAGTAATGAAAATGAAATTAGCGTATGTCGATTGAGAGATCCATTTAAAACTTGGCAGTACTGTTGTGAAGGGTATCACGTGTAATGGCGACTATATTTTACATTCTAAACGTGCTAAGATCGAATTCTAAACTTAATTAGCTGTTATCGAATTTACGATGGAACGATTTTTCAGCCTGATAAATTTTTAACGTGTGAAATTTTTGAAGGAGGCGTATCACAATTTTCTTTTTTTTTTAATGTATTATCCGTCTTAATGATATTCGTTCGATGATCGATTACAAATG